ATAACTTGAGTTATATGGTAATTGATTTCTTGTATAATTTGTATTGTTCGGGAGTGGTTTTCCTGAACTGTTGTTGCTGTGGACTGTTTTGTTCGGTAGATTTTGATCTTTTTTCATGTATTGATAGAATGATTTATTTGGTTCTTTATATTTTTGAGGTTTATTTTGATTATCTTGCTGTTTTTGTCTACATTCGGAAATACTATGTCCGTATCGTCGGCAATAATTACACCATTTTTTGAAAGATGGTTTGCCTTTAAAGTTCGGGTTCTTTTCGTAAATATTGAGTATTTCAGTGATTTTTTCAACGAGGTCTGTTTCTGATTCCTGTATATTATTAATATTAGTGGGAGTCGTTTCAATTCAGTTAACGTATTGTAATTTCAGATTTTCCGTTTCTTCTAGTTTCATCGTGATTTCTGCTTGTTCTAATTTGTCTACTAGTTTTCGAAAATCTAAATCGGGTTCTCGAATTGAAGAAGGATGAGATGCTCTCTTTTTTATTGCTATTTTCCTTAATTGTGGTGTTAAGGTCATCATTAAGATTTCTGTCATCTTTGTGTTTTTATAGTCATGTGTATTTAATGAATATGCTTTTCGAACTAGTGTTTCGATTCGTACTGCTATTTGCTTGATGGTTTCGTTTGGTAATCTGCGAATTTCATTACATAAAACTCTTTGTTGTTGTTTGTTTCTTTCGGAGTCAAACATTTTTGAAAATTCTTGTGTAAATCTTTTCCAGTTTGATTTTATTTCTAGAGGTAGTACTGAAAACCATTTTTGGGCTGCGCCATCTAAGGTTGTTTGTATTAACGCTGTGCGTCGATGTATCCAATTTTGATGTAGTGGCGTATTAATTGGTTCAGGTCCAATATTTAAAATCAGGTTTGCTGTTACTGCATTTAAATAATCTTCTACAGAGTATTCAGGGTCTGTTCCTGTGAAAACCATTAAAGGTTTGTTTGATGTTATTGATGATCCACCCATAAGGTATGGATTCATTGTCATTTGTAATGATTCTGCTGCATTTGGCATTTGAGAAAAATTCGAAAGTTGGTTTCTTGTTATCTCATGTTGTTGGAGATAATATGGGAGTGGTATTTCATTTTGCATTTGTGATGGTTGATACGAGTGTGCAGTCATTGGATTTTGTTGTTGAATTGGTTGAAAAGATTGTGTATTAATTGGATTTTGTTGTTGAATTGGTTGTTGATTTTGTGCATCTATTGGTTGTGGAGAAAAATTTCTATGATTTGTACGTGTTCTCTGTATTCCTTGTCTACGATATTCTTGAGTATTTTGTGCAAATATATCTGGTTGTAAGAAATCATCATCTGAGGATAAATAATCCATTTGATAAGATGTCTGTTTTTTATTTTTATTTTGTTGAAAAAATGGGTAATTTTCACTGTGATCCTGTGGAGGATTTGTTTGGAAATTTATTGAATTAGGTTGGGTCATTGGGTTATCCCAATTTCGAGATCTTGTATATTGGTTAAAATTTCTTTGTGGTTGATTATATGTTTTTGATGGATGTGTATAATTATAATTATGGTCTGCAAAGTTGTTTCTAGTGAATGTTTTGCGTGTTTTTGGTGGTATTGTCATGGGTCTGTATGTTTGGTAATCCATATGTGAATATTTAGGGGCAACCGAAGGTTTAACGGTTGATTGTAAGGTTACCTGTGTTTGTGAAGGATTTGTATTTCTTGGTGTTGTTAAATTTGGGCGTATTGGTGAAATACTTTGTTGCGTAGTTGTTGTGTGTACAATTTCTTCATTTATGAAGTGTGATGGTGTCTGGATATCTTGTTGAGTAAGATTCCTAGTTCCATTGAGGTTTTCATTGTGTATAACTGTAGAGTTTAAACTATTATTTTGTGTATCGGGTAAAAATGTATTATAGTTTAATGGTGTTGCATCAATTGTTAATGGTATTACTCTTACATAATCTCTTATGTAAGATATTGTACCTATTGCTTGACTTGAGATTGATTGTGGAAAGCTTATAAATGCGGGATGAGACCATTCGGGGTCCCAAACATAATCTGATTGTTCTGTGATAGCGGTATCATCGTTCGAATTTTGGGGTCTAAAATTTTTTCTTGCTTGTGCAATTAAATCAATATTGTGTGTGAAATAATCTATTATGAACCATGCCAAAATTTTTTGTAGATCGTGTTTTGTATGTTGTGAAACGTCGTCTTTCGTGAAATTTTCTTTAATGATGTTTAAATAACTAGAGAGTAGTGTGATTTCATGTCGTACTTTCAAATGTTTAGATGTTTCTTTTGGTGAGACATTTGTTATTGGGATTTCGTTTTCTAATATCGAAATATAACTATATATTATTGCGAAAACTTCATTGGTCAATATGGAGTTTGCTCTTTGTGAGTTATGGTATTGGATGCTTTTTATATATTCTGAAAAAACTTTTGAAAATTCTAAATCAAGATCGTCTGTTTGAATTGTATATTTTCTATTATTATGGTTTGGTGAGGTGAATTCTATGGAGTAGATTCCATACTGTTGTGTTATGTTGCATATATCTTTTAGATAGTGATCTATGATTTGTCTTTTGATTTTTACATCGGGGAACTCTGTTTTACATGGACTGATTCCGGGTTCAAATAAATTTACGAGTAAATTTTGACAAAATATGTGTTGTCCTCTATCAGTATCTGCGTCTACTATAAAAGGAAAGATTTCATCATCATCTGGAGTTTCTTCACCTGGGGTGTGCGTTGAACTCATTTTTTCGTTCGATTACTGTTAATATGTAATTATTAATGTGTCGAATTGGTTGATTCCAATTGTATAAATGTACTGGTTTGTGTTTGTACTGCTTTTTTATTCTTCTTTTTCCTCTTTGTGATGAATTTGAAGTTGTTTCTGAGTCAGAGAAATATAATTGATCGTGAATTGGGCAATTTTTATCTATTGATTCTTTTAGTTTGTAAAGTTCGTCTAAACTGTTGGTTTCTGATTCTGAAAATGCGTTTCGATTTTTTGAAAATCTTTTTCGTGTTATTTGTCTTTGTTTCGTTATTATTTTTCTTTTTAGTGTTTGTCGTTTTGTTCGAATGTATCCAACTGTTTGTGTATGAGGTGTGATTACAAGGTCGTATTTTTTGTTATCTATTTCACAATTGTGTAAAACGATTGTTTGTTTATTTCCTAGGTTTTTAAATGACATAAGGTTTAGATGATGGATGCAAAGGGTTGTTAAATGATTTCTATTTTCCTAAACTGTTAGTTCTTACGATTTTTTGGTTAGCTTAACATGTCTGTTTGTTCAGGGTTGGAGAGAAAAGTATATCAATTCCGAAGAATGATTTTTTACTTTCTCGTGGCTAGTATAAGTTAAGGTGTTAACTTACTTAATCTTACTTAGGGGTAGTGATTGTGTTCAAGGGTTGGAGAATAGTAAATCGATCCACAAGGTTCAGGTATAATTAGAACGCGAGTAGTTCGTTAGATACTATTTTAAACTTACTAAGTCTAAGATTTATCCTGGGTCTGGTAAGAGGGGGGGTCAAGTGAAGGATGAATAACCGAAGTTCTTCACTGTTTATCTTAATTTGAATGATGAGTTTTGTTTAAAAATTTCTATTAGTCTTAGGTCTTTAGAAAGGGTTGGGTAGTGAATCGACGTTTGAGGTCGTTAGACACTAATTAAGTGGGTGGGGGAGAACAAAGTTGTTCTGTTTGATCCAAGGATAAGCCTTGATGATCAAATTTGAAATTTAATTAAGTAGAAAATGATTTAAGATCCAAGGATAAGCCTTGATGATCTGGTTTTAAAATTAAGTGAATTTAAGTTTTAATAAAATTTTAAATGTGTGTAAAGGAAAGATTTAGTGTTCTGATGATATTAGTGGGTTTATGATTGCTGTTATGTTTTAGATGATGGAGCTGGAACAACAGGATGATTTATGATTACTAACCATTTATTGTCATGCTACTAATTTTTATTTTTATTTTCCAATAAATATTTTTCAAACATGTTTTGTATATTACTGCAGAGTTTTAGGAAAACGATCTTAGATCTTTTTATCAATCGTTATTGTATATTAATAAATTTGTTTAGCGCCTGAAATGATTTTGAAGATTAACTTCAAGGTTTTATGTTTGCAAATGAAAATCTAAATTCATTGCCAGTAGTATTCTAAATATAAAAGTTTGTTCTGGCTTTTGCCGAACTATCATATAACTATACGGCAAGTTTCTACTTTGTCGTATGTCGTCTCTGGTTCGAGGTCTTCTTCCAATTTCGGGTAGTTCTGTTATGGTTCGGAATATTGGCTCTGATCTATTGAGTCGTAGAGACATTTCGATTAAATTATTGTCGTATAACATTTTGTAAATGTTTTTGTCTAATTTCTAATCTATTTTGGTTAATTCTAAGCTATTAAGGTCTTGTTCGAGACTTATGGTCGCACCAGATGAGTTAAGACCGAAGTGTAACTCATAGAGTAATTTCGGATAGGGTACACCGTCTGCTCGTCACGCTATCTTATTTTCGGCCGGATAGATTCGTGCAACTTCTTAGTCTAATACCGATCCTAATCTTACTCTTATACTATCTAGTCTCAGGTTGTTTAACTAGTCTCTGCTAGGCTCAATAGATCTAGGGTATACTGGTTTATTGCGGCTGCTGAAGTGCTCGGGAGAGTCCAACTAATTTCTAAGTTAAATTCAAATCTCTCTGGTGCTGAAATTACAAGTAACTTCAGCACTTACAAATAAGTGGGTTGTTAGTTAGATGGATCATGATTGGTTAATATTAAATACTTTACATTGGTAAAACATTTAATTTATCCAATCATAAAATGTAGTTTAGATCAGGTTCCAGTATAGACTTTGTAAATTGTTTTCACTTCAACGTGATATTGGTGTATAAATGTTCTATAATTTATGTTTTGCCAAATCTTTAAATTTATTTTTGCTATTTCCTCTGTTTTTTTTCTGGTGGTATAATAGTTAAGTGTCACACTGACGTTTGATGTATCTGTGGAAATTGTTGCAAGGAGCCCAGCGGACTTTCTTCTTCATCACTGGACCCTCGCTCTTGTCCAGCACCACATTACCACACCGCTTCTCCATCTTCAGCAGTTCACGCTCCACCTCCCCACTAGTAGGCATCTGATCACGCAAAAACAGAAAAAAAAAGTGAATTAGTAGGTGAACAAAGGTTAAAATTAGAGATAGCTGAAATAAAGTCAAAGTTGAAATCAAATTAATTTTGGTTGTCAGCATTTAATCTAAATTCATGATCAAATGCTCTAATTTACTCTGAAAACCGAAAATAATCAGACCGGTTTTTTCTCGTCATTTAGAAAACATTTTAAAAATTTTTATTGAACTCAAAATAAGACCAAAAGGGTTTAAATTTGAAACTACAATTAACTTTAAACACACTTCACTTGATATATCTAATGTTAGGCGAAAAGAAAATCCCACCCTACGCCAGAGTTCCTTCCCCGAGACCTTCTTTCCGTGAAGTGGTCGGAACATTTGATTGTGGTCGGAACATTTCATGGTGGTCGGAACACAGAATGCATTTAAAATTTTACTGGAAGCAAATATAAAACGCGCATTTTAATTAAAGTTAATTCAAGTTAACTAACAGTAAAATAATTTCAATCCTCCAATCCGAAAAGAAAAAGAACTTATTCAATGCAGCTTAAGTTAAAGTCCCATGTATACAAGGAAAAGGGCCAATAACAAAGAAAAGGCCACTACGCTCCTGACGTAGAACCGATGTTGCTTGTTCTCAGGTGCGGATTTAGGGCTTCGCACGAGTGGCGGCATTTTTAGCACTCTTCGGTCATTTCTCTGAGTGCTTAAAGACAAAACTGATAGTTATAAATAAAACTTCTGATCCCTCGGCAAAATAGTCATAATCGACAATGAACTTTTAAGTCAAAATCAAATTTTTGAGTCCATTTTTTTTTCAAAAAAGAAACAAGGTACTACCCTTTCAGCAATAGTAATCTTCCTCACCACCCCAACTTAAACCGCTACTGCTCGTGCTCCTGATTTCATGCTTCTGAGCTTCACTATGCTTAACAAAAAACTGCGGTCCTCCATAAAACCATCTCAATTCTACACTTCCAGACAAAATGTTTCTGAGGTGATATAACCTCGGTATTGCGACAACTCTTTACAAATGACAATTCATGAATGGTTGCGAGTTGTCCTTTTTTTGCGAGCTGTCTTTTGTTGCGAGTTGTAGCGCTATGTATAACTTCAATAACTTTTCCTGTATGTCAAAATTTTTCCAAATGACTGCCACCAAAAACCGCACAACGAGAGATTCGATATGGAAAGCTTCATTTGATGGATGTTTTACTACTTATAATTACCGTTCTCGTTTCAATTTTGTAGCGAAGTGTTTGACTCAAAAAATTTCACTGAGCTCAAGCACCTGAGCAGAAATTATTTATTTGAGTAAACTCCGAGTTTACATTTTTTTTCTATCCAAAAACAAGAACAACGGTTGTTCAAAAAATTACAACTGTACTTATTATAGCTCAGGATTGGCATTAATGTTGTATTAGAAAAAACCTATTGAGGCAAGCAGCATAATTTTTTTGTTCTTGGTTACTTCTGCAAAAAAAGTATCTAAACAAACACCAATTTTTTTTGAATAAAAACTAGCTCAAAAAAAACATGTCCATACACTAAACAAGGATAATTGGTTACTGTGCAAGCAGCGCAGAATATTCCGACCATAGTCTTAAAAAAACAACCAAAAGTTTCTTCTAAATGACAAGGAGCTAGACATGTTCGAAGTCATAGTAAAGTAGGCAATCTGGACAAAATTTTTTTGAAGAAAATTGACCTGGAAAACAAAAAAGAAGTCATGAAAAAATCAAACAAAATTCTTCTTTTTTTTCAGTTAGTTTTGCAGAAATATTTAAATTTTTGAAGTTTTTGATTCCCAACATTGCGTTAAGAAGCTCCAAACACTAATTTTAATCGAGTGAAACTACATTAAATCATGAACAATTTTTTGTAAACAGCTTAATTTAGGCTTAAATGAGCATGATCGCTCGCTTGACCCGCTCGAAATAAGACAAAAAATTAAAAATTTTAAACCGATTTTACTCGAGACCAGCAAAAGTTTTCGAAATTTTTTAAGATAGTTTGAACTACAACTAAAAGTTTTTTATTATGATATATTACTCGACGCATTCCGACAATTATTTGTGGATCCTGATTTTGCATGGAAAACAAAAGGAAAAAACACTAAAAAACACCTGACTACAAAGCTTCCCACATCTTCAATGGTCGGAACAATAAAAAGCCAATCTAAACTCAATAGCATTTTCCAACCATTTTTGTAAAGCAGAATTGCAACATAGTCAACGAATAGTTCTAAACGCATAATCCTGACTTTGGCATCAATGACCCATCAAAAACCAGAAAAAAGTACAAGGGAACCATTGCTTTTCGTTTTCAAATTCATCATTTTTGGGTTTTTCAATCAAATTGTATGTTTTTCTTTCAAATAAAATAAAAAGCCCGAAATTATTCTGAATGACTCTCAAAAAATCAAAAAAATAAAAGTGGGAAGTTTCTTAAAAAGAGAAATAAATTAAAAAGAGATCATATCTTTGGAGTTTTTTTTGAAAAATAAACTAGTACTAAATGTATCATTTTAAGTTTTAAATGGCAAATTGTTGGATGATTGTCAACAGAAAATTTGAGAGACTTTTTTTTTTAAATTTTGCCTATGTTTTTTTAATTGAGCACTAATGGAAGACGTTAAAGTGCACTTGAAAATCAGGGCGGCATGCTGATATGAGGAGTTTTGTTGTGTTAACTTTCAAGGAAAGTTACGGAACTTTTTTCTTGAGGTGATTTTTTATTCGGTCAAATTTGATTTTTTAAGCAAACGTTTTTTCAGTCCATTTAGCTTTAATCAAGTTTATAAATCAATTTTTCAACCAAAATTTTTAATTGGCCTTTAAAAGCAGTCGGGATATTCAGGGTTTTGCCTCTAAAAGTTTTCCTTAAAATGCTAATCATGTTCCATGTTGTCGGTTTTTTCTTTGTTCTAAGCATTAGCCTTTTACAACTTTAGAACTGTTGATTTGATAGTTCACTGCAGATATTTGAGCCTTAAAAAAGGCGAACCTTACAGCTTGGTATCCATATCAACTATAAATTAAACTATAAATTGAGAAGTAGTTTTTCTACTTTCGAAACAAGTTTATAGCATATATGCTCTTTGCGATTTTTTCTTCAGGCAAACTTTGAAAATTCTATTTACCCTTTTTTGGAAGAATATTTCACACCTTCTGTAAAATATTGATGCCTTGAGCTCATAATTAAACATGAAATTTACCTGTGAGCACTTGCCTTAACATTTTAGGGCTAATTTGGAACGACTGATGTGCTATCAAGCGTAAGGAGCAATTTGAACTGGCTCAAAAATGTTTGAAATTAAATTGAGGAACGCTATTTGGACTTACTAGCTAATTTCTAGAAACCAATTACATTCTTTTGTACTTCACATGGAAGAAAATTGAAATTTTGTCAAAATTTTGTTTTTCAAAAAGATTTAATCAAAAATTATTCCAACATTCAGAGTTTCGCGATTACGCGAGCAATCTGGTCCGAGCTTGATAAATCATCGGTAGAACACAACTTAAATGTTTCGAAAAAATGGATGTGTTTGGATCAAACTGTCGATCAAAAAACAAACAGAGCAAGCTTCTCAATTTTGAATAAATTTAGAAGCCAAAAAAATCAGTTGTCTTTTGATTTGTCAAGTGACGGCTTGGTTGTTGAAAGGAGGGATTTGCAAAACGGGAGAAAAACCAGATTGGTCTGACACTTTTGACAGTTCTAATTTAAGTCGTTCGCTTCCTATAGAAAGCAGTTTGATTTTTCATAAATTGTAGAAAGATTGTTTATAAGTGCCACAAAGGAAGCCAAAACAGGTACTTTTATTTACTCAAGCGTAAAGAAAATTTTTAAGTTTATATAGCATTGTATGAACAACAAATCATGGATGTCTATACTAGTATTTAAAAACTTATACGACATTTAAATCGATGGAATGCAAGAAAGTTTTCAATTTTTTGATTTTCAGGCATAAATTTAAACCTTTAAATTATTGATTCAGTCTTGAAAAAAAAGTTAGTTGTCATATGAGGAAACTGGAAGACCATTTGAAATTCTTAGAAATGTTAGAAATCGTAGAACCACTGAAAAGGCTATCTAGCGAGTTATCTATCTGTGCCAATGGAAGCTGTTTATTTCCAAATGACAATTTTCTCTTTAGTTTTTTGGACTTTTGGTTCATTTTAACGATTTTTTAAAAAGTTTTTAAGATGTAGAAAACAAAAAAGTACACATTAAGACCAAAATTCAAGTCAATTTTCCAACCTCATTAGTTTTACTTAGAGTAGAAATTAAGAAAAAATTTGGATGTTGAAAAACTTCGCAGATTAAATTATCAACTAAGCCTGATGCGCCCAAATTAACTCGGTTAAAACGACCCACCTTTATTTCGGACTCAGAGCTGCACGAGTTGAACTGGGAAACAGAATGATCAACCTGGTCCTGATTGGCTCTCACTTTCATCAGCAGGGGCTTCGGAGTCGAAGTTCCCGTCGGCTCCCCCCTCATCGGAATTTTCGGACTCTTAGGGGGTAGAGGGGGAGGGCGCAACGGAGCATCGCGTAATGGTATCTTAACCTCCCCATAATTTTGGAGTTCATACGTTTCCGTGTTAACATAAAGGGGACTGTCAATATCTAAAGGTTTGGGATTCGAAACATACTTTTTGCGATTTTTAGACATTTTAATAACAAACCATTTGTACCAATAGAGAAAAATGGACGGTTGAAAGCTTTAAAAGCTGGTAAAACAGATTCAAAACCACTATGTAAAAAGTTTTAAAAATATTAAATAAGCACTGAAACCATTACCATTATTATGATGCCACATATCAGTGTAAAACGTTTTCTTTTTTATAATGTAGAATCAACTTTGAACAAGTCTTCATCATATCAAAAAATGAAGTAATTCAAGCATAAATGGCTCGTTTTACTTTATGATAGTTTTCGATTACGGCCCTTTCGCGCTGTTAAGTTGACACTTCTCAGCTCGATTGAAAAAATAAGATTTCAAACCACTTATTCAACTGCTCTGAATTGATTTTTATGCTTCAAAGAATATCACGAGAAAGCGTTAAGACAAGTTTGAGTATCATAGCAAAACTATGAACAAGTCTTGTGGGTTTGTTTAGTTTCAAAAGTGTTTTTTGTTTGTTTTTGTTTTTAATTTGGGGTTTTGTATTCAGTTAATACAGAAGTATGTTCAATTAATCCCGAAATGCAAAAAAAAATATGATTTTGTTGAGTGAAAAGGCGTTAGTGGAATTTATCACTCAAGACATTCTGATTACTACTTTGCGTGAAAAAAATCAGATGAATATTCTAAACACAACCGACAACAATGCTCCTCCCCGCTTTTTGTAGTCGGAACAAACCGATCGAATTTCGTACCTGAAAAACAACTAAAAGCCATCTGGATTGCCTCGATTTGCTCATACTTTAATTTTTACTCAGTTCTGTTGCTTCAAATACAAAACTATCTATAAAGATCGGATGTTCGAGGCCCACCATGATCCAATGCTCCTTGCTTGAGGGTGAGGCAACATTACACAGCCCAGGAAAAAAAATTGTATGTTGTTCTTAAGCAGGGGTACAACAGCGGTTCAGCTGTACAGCTCGTATGTTGGCCCTTTCCCTCGTGGATAAACGGTCTTATTTATAAATGTAACGCCAACTTGTTTCTTTTCAATCGTGAGAAGACGTGAAGTGATAATATTCATGAGAAATCAATAGATCTACACAACTAAGAAGATCCTCAGGTTTTTTTTTTCATTGGCTCCTTTCTCTTGACACCAACAATTCAACCAAAAAGAAACCTGATGATTGGCTTGCATGCATTTCTGATCTAGAGTGTGAACTTAACTGCCCTTTAAGTGAGAAAAAAGTCAAGCTTGTTACTGTTTAAGCAATGGTTTATTGCTCAAAATGAAAAGTTTTGCCTTTGTACTGACCTGTCTTCTTAAGCGATGGTCTATTTAATGCTACCTAAACACCGGCCGTAACTTTAACATAAAGATAAATTAGCATAAACATTTGAAAGTTTTGAAAAGATGTTTAAATACGTTTTAGCGAATCAGATTTCACGATACTAATACTATCTACAACATTCCAGTTATCGATTTCATAGTTTTAGATCAAAAATTTGGTTGTAATTGAGCTTAAAATCCAGGTCTTTCAGAATTCTAATTGTTCCGACTTTCGAAAAACAACATTTATGCTCGGTGTGGTTTTTTTATTCGGTCAACTTCACCGATCGAAATAAAAATTTTCATCCAAAATTTTTTATGCCCCATTGAAAATATTGACATCTTGAGTTCAAATATAAAAAGATATTTCACCTCCGGTTATTTTTTATAAAGTTCTGAGGGTTTGAAATTTGCCAAATTTGTCATAATCTGGACTAAATTATCCGCGCTTTGAAGAGTTGATTCATACTGCTGAGAGCGTAACGCGAATCATTTATGCGTGGTGAACTATTCCGCATAACAAAATCGCTCCAAATTGAATTGAGGCTAGCTAATTGGTCGTAAAAATTTATTATGACTCAAATTCTTACATTTTGATATTGTCCAAAATGTATAGATTATCAATATTTTTTTTCACAAAAACCATTCGATATGAACTATGGGATAGTCGGAACAATCAGGGCTTTGCCCTGATGTACGAGCAGTCTTGCTTTAGTTACAGAAGGCACGCGATAAGACGTATATGAAGCCAGCAAAAATTTCATGCTTTTTTATCAATATCCCATTTTACACATCCCTAATTAACCTGCCTAGTTAACTAAGTTTCCAGCCAAATTGCGATCACTATCTGAAAAACACGCAAATGGCCTGCTAGTTGTCGGGAATATTAGATAATTAGGTAGGTTGCGTAACAGTAAGCACAAATCCGCGTAACCAGACAAGTCCGTAATCAGAGAAAAAAAATTTTTCCAAGAGTTATGCCATTTTTGCACGGTAAAAAGTATCATTTTAATCCTCGAACTGTTGAAACCAAATTGTTTCTTCATATTTTTATTTCAAGTATTAACTCAATTCGATAAACATTGGTTTAAAAAGTTAACGTTTGAATCAAACTTTAAAAACTCAAAATCAAGTTAATTTTACAGCCAATCAATTGTGTATATAGCCAATTTCGTCTTGTTTTTGACCAGTCTGCTTATGCCGTTGACTAATTAACGGCCGCAATTAGCCAGTAAACAAGTTGCTCAAACCGTAAAAATGTTGACTTTTTTTTTTATTTTTTCATTGAAATGACAATAAAGCTCATTTCCAAGATCAAATCAGTCTGCTCAACATGCAGCGATCCACCTAAGCAGCTATCCATCTTTCTTCATCAAGGGGAAAAATAATTAGGTGATTGCGCGCGCCGTTTCATCATATTTTATTCTTTACACATTTATGTTTTTCGAAGGAGTTACTTTTTGGTCCTTCTACAACCTCTATATTTAGACTTACTAGATATATGAAGAAACTTCCTCTTTTTTCGGTCACTCCTTTTATTGAGACTAAAATCGAAAAAATTATGAAAAGAGCAAAACTTAGACAAAAGCTCCAATCTTCTGATCGAATATAAAAAATAGAGTTTTTTTCTTCCTTATTCTTTTTCATATTTAATAATTGTAAGCATTAATAAAGCTATGCTTCAGGCGCACACATCTAACAAATGGATGCATAAAAAAACTGTTAATTGAATTGGCTTTCATACGGAACAATGCTTATAATACAATTCCATTGATGGAGTTTATGAAAACGGCTTATTATGCAATTTCCATTAACGAAAAGAAAATTTTATACAATGATTTTTTCTATTGAAACAACAATTTCGAAAGAAATCCTGCAAGTAATTTTGAGCGATTGTATTGGGGTTTTTTATTGACTGAGAGACTTTTTGTTTTTTAAACGTTAGATTTTCTGTTGTGGGGGAAAAATTTATCATGCAACTTTCATTAATGAAAAATGTTTGAGAAAACGTTTTCTCTACACATAAATTCATAAATCAAAGTGTGTGTGGATGAATTTCGCAAAAAACTTAAATTATAAAAAATTCATTTTTTACATTTAATTTTTTCAAGTGATTACTGCTCCATAGACATAAGGAGGCAGTCGGAACATTCAGGGCCTCGCTCTAATACGATCAGTCTTGTTAAGTTTTGTTAACAAAACAATGATTTTACCTTCGTTTTTGTTTGAACTGACACTTACATACGGAAGCTGTACAACTGTAAGCGAATACTTTGATCATTTTAGCCTTGTCAAAGATCTGAAAAACGTTTTTTCCCCAAATTTTGAGGAACAAAATGTCGTTCAGCTCAATACATTTTTCAAAAGTTCCCACAGCGCAGCAAGAGAGAAAATTTTTTCAAAAATCAGCTGTAATACTGGCTGAAATTGGGTTAAAAAAATAGTGAAGTAATCGCAGTTACACTTAAATTTTTTCTCTAATCAACCTAATGATAAGATTTTTTCTTTGTTGTACGGCATGGAGACATTATATTAAATCCCTTTGAGTGGGGAGTATAATTTCAAACATGAATTAAGAACTCGAATCACGATTAAAAGGGTTTTTATATAATGCCTATCTGCTGTACGAGGTGTGAAAAAAACCAAAGGTCAAAGTTCCTTCCCACTACAAGGGGTGGTCGGGCAATAAAGTTTTCTTGATATCTTGCCTCTAGTTTTGTCCGTTAGTGGAAAATCCGTAGCTCACCGGCTGTGTTTTCGATAGAAGTAAAACGAATTTTGAAGTGGTTAGGAAATTATTCCAAAGTGATGAATGCTAAGATAATCGATAGCGTATTAGATTTATAACATGCAATCAGTTTATGAGGCCGAGCACCTTTCTGGCTAAATTGTGTTTAGGAAAACTAAGTTTTCAATCAAGCATTTATAATGTCAGAATTATAAAAATTCTTCAAAAGTGCTTTGCGCGATTTTAGGCTCAGATAACCAAACAAATTTTGGAAAATTGTCAAGAATTTTCAAAAAATGCAACTTATATTTGATAACCAAATATATGTCAATAAAATAGCAAAGTCCCCTAGAAAATGATTAAATAATAATAAACAGAAGGTTTTCGACACATTTTATGATATGATCCATGATACTAAGTAGGAAACTGTACCTAGTCTGAAAGTAAACTTAGACGATTATTTATAAATTGATTGACAAGCTTGGGGGAAAATATAAGGTAGAATCTTCGAATGAAAGCCTAAACAAAGAGGAAACTGGAAACCTATATTTTAAGAAGCAAAATAACGGACAAGGAATTACTTACCGGGAAAAGGAAATTAGAGAAAAAACCAAGAAGCAAAATAACGGATAATGATTACCGGTAAAATGAAGCTCGTGATAAATTATGAATTCACCAGCGCAGAACTCATTTTCAGATAAATCCCAGAATATGTTTTTTAAGGTTGACAGCTTAAGAATCGCAAACATTTACGCAATCTGTTCTAAGGAAAAATCAGCATAACTCTTCAAACGTATAATTCTTGATTCCAAAATTTTCTCTGAAGTGAGAAAAAGACGTATTGTAATAGGATTTCAGACTTTCGAGCTAAGCTTAATCCGCAATCAAATCGGGCATAATCAAAACGGGCCAGGATTTCAATTCACCCTATCCAGCTTTAATTGTGTAACGGTCCACAGGTATTATGCTTTTGTAAAGATAGAATTAAGGATAAATTTAAGAGTAGAAAAAGCAATTCCGGTCGACAGAGAGGAAAGCATAGGAGTCTCTGAGGCTGCCAATTTGTCCCAAGAGATACGGACAAAAATCAAAGCCAGATATTCCAAATTACACTCGAAGTCGACCAGCGATTCCAATATTCACCGGCGCATGCAATCTACATATAATTCTACACCGAGCGAGCATAACAATGCTTTGAAGCGTGTCAAACACTCATGTTTGAAAGGAAAAGGGAGAACTTTGTTTATCCAGGTAGTTAGAAAAGCAATCAAATGGTTCCTATCTCAAGTGTTTGGAGTATCAACCTGCTAGCGAAGATAGGTAAAAGTGTTAATATATTTGAAGTTAGGACAATGTGAAACTTGAGTCAAATTAGATTTTGATGATAATCTGCTGTTTTATTGGCAAACG